TCAGAGTATAACATGACATCATTTTCATTATTCTCATTGGTGTTAGGTCCAGGAAGAGATCGCTATGAGTCAAACACAGGTATGTGCCTTTACAAACTCTTTACTCCATCCTGACACTGACTTCTTTCTTCACTGTAAAAGTAGTAGTAGTTGTGATTCAGCGTTAAAGCTGACATTTTTAAATGAAACAATATCAGCTGCAGACCGATAATATAAACAGGAATTTAGGGCTCGGGCAATTCGTCAACATAGTCGATCCAGTGTTGGCAGGATTCCCCCGGACACTCCAGCTACAAGACCGTGCCTTCGACCATCTAAAGTTTGGAAGTATTTTAGACAGACAGTCTCTGTGATCTGAGAAAAGCTTCACTGCAGCACAACTGTCCACGAATACGTGAAGCAGCATGAACACGTGAGCGAAAGTATCCTGGAGCACTGACGGCAGCACCGCAAATCCTATTTACTTTCTGTCGCCACACGAGCATGGCACATCATCAGCACAAGGACACGTAGTATTTCTTAATCGCTTTCATGTTAAAAGTAATTTTTGCCCCGCTGCTGTCATTGTAGCATAACGTTACACCTCAAGACATCGAACGTTCGGCCGTTTCATATTTTCTGTTTTAATTAACGGCCACATATGAGCGAGAAAACAGCTGAAACTAACATTACAGACGATCTGTGACTGTCTGTACAGTCTGTGAATCCTTTCAATTGTTTTCTTTGCCCGACACTGATGCAGAAATACATTTGATTATCATACTGCAGTACTCAATATTGAAATTAATCCATGTCAAAAACATTAAAAGTTTTAAGTAAAGTAGCCTAATAATTAATGTCTGTTATTGTTGTTATCACAACACATCAATGGCGTGGAAATTTGATTCATTTTAAGATTTGCTGCTATTCTTTTTTATTTATTATATTATTATATACACACACATTATTCTAATGTGCTTCATCAGGATGATTAAAATATAGATTTATTTATTAGGAATGTTTTTGATATTTATTTTGGATAAATTGGTATGTTAATCGAGTAATAGGCAACTTTTTTCCTTTTAGAATACAGAAAATTAGTCGTTAGATTAATTGGGTAATTGAAAAAATAATCGTTTGATTAATTGACTTGAAAAATAATCGTTACGTACAGCCCTAATCAGAAATTGAATATCTGCAGGCTTAGAAGTTGTGATTATTTTACAGTACTTAATCTTAACGCTGTTCCTGAACTTTAGCTGCCAGTAATCTTACTGCTAACATCAGGCGAGATGGATTTATATAGCCTGCAGTGGAAAAGCTACATTTTACAAGGGGTTGGGGTAAACAGCTGACTGAATGGGATATTGCTCAGCACTGGGGATGTAGCGATTGCTGGATTTCACTATTAACCGTGCTTTAAAACGTCACGGTTAATTAATCAGCGTTTCCCACACATAGGGTTTACTTGGGCGGGCCGTCCAGGTAGATTAACAGCTGCCCAAGTAAATTTGGCGACCCATTTTACAATTGTTTTAAAATAAGTAAGTAAAGGTAATACATAATAACTTATTTAAATAATGTGGCAGGTTGTTGGGGAATTAAATATAATTGTGACACTTACAATCAATGCTGTCGCACTGAGATCGAGCTTTCAGTACAACATAAAAAACAAAGCAGGTGTAACCGACAGCACCGCTGCGCTATGAGGCCTATTTTCAATGGCTTGTGCCACGCCAAAGCTTGACGAGCTCGCACGCAAGCAGCAGTCAAATTAGCTGAACTTTTGCGCTGAACCCAGCTTCCACACAGTGCAAATCACTTCTTTTGTGAAAGGTTCTTTATGGAAGAACGTTGTCCTCTGCCGACCTTCAGTCACTGAACATTTAACATCCTGTTGCTTCCTCCTGTCTGTGCTGAGAAAATGTTGCAGGTGTAAAACACTAACAGAACATCAGGAGCTTATAAACTTCCAGAACTGTGGGCTACCAATTACCTGCATTTCAGTTATTAATAACGCTGCATGAGACATGTTCTCAATTTTCATCATTGAACATTCATCATCATTTTCACTAAAACTTATACATGTGGATGAGAGTTGATGACAACAGTTCAGTTTATTCCCCTCCCCAATAACAATTTCCCCTGGGAGATAAAGTTAATATTCCTCTTATATTAATAATAATACTTAAATATTATAGTTTTATAATTGTTAATGTAATATTAAAAACCTACTTAAGTAATTACTAGTGTTGTTAAATTAATTAATGCATAATAATCATGATAATCTTGAAACCGTGATTATTCCTCTGACTATAATCGTACCAACAAAATCTGTAATCGTTGCATCCCTACTCAGCACAAGCCAGTCTCTCGTGTTTCAACAGTTTCATTTACCAGTCCTGACCAGCACGCACGCTGTCACCGTGTACACGGACTAAAACTTCTAGTGAAGTTATGGATGTTATATTATGACATGTTAGAACAGTTGCAACATTTTGGTACGTGTGCTTATTCACTTTCTCGCCAAGTGCTGGATGAGAAAAGTAAAGGACTGTCATGTCTATTCACTAAATATGGAGTTAGAGCCAGCAGCCAATTAGCTTTAGATAATATAGATTTATTTATATTTAGCATGCACACTAAAGTGATTTGATCTTCTCAATAAACCCTCAGAAAGAAAGACAATACATGTATTCCCCCAAAAAACTATTTCTTCAAGGTAAATTAACTTTTACGTTAATTGTCAGTTATTAACATAATTTATTTGTATTATTCAACACTATACTACTAAAATGACTATGTAAAAAAGCCTTTGTCCTGAGCATGAACTCAAATCAGTCCCTGCTCGTTCTGTTCTCTCAGACAAAAGTTGATGGCAGATTTCTTTTTTAAATGAAAGTAGAGTCCCAGGCAGAGACTGCAACTTTTTGGCCAATCCTGAGAGCAAGATGTCAGTGGGACTGCAGTCAGTTTGTTGCTGTGCCTTGTCAACTTGCAAAGTTGTAGATACCATGCAGTTCTTGCTGCGACAGTCGTAATGTGGGTAAAACGTTGAGAGTGGATGACAAGTAAACGACCTACTGAAAAATAAGTGGAGTCTGTTCAAAGATGTCAACAGTTTATTAGTCAAGATTCAATTCAGTTACATACTTGTCAGTTTGTGTACTTTGATTGTATTAATAAAGCAAATGGAAATAAGTGATTATTATATTGGTTTTAATGATTAGGTTGTTATGAATGTGGTCATTCATAAAGTAATTCTATGGAACAAAAATTTTATACCCACAAAGATACATTGGGAATTATTATTGTTATGTAATCATAGCACCCTAAATTGTGACAGATTTCCCAGCCCTATCATCAATAGGGATGCAACGATTACAGATTATTGTCAGAGAAATAATCACGGTTTCACGATTATGCATTAATTTTCACTAGTAATAACTTAAGTTGATTTTTAATATTAAATTACATTAACAATTGTGTTTCTATAATATGTAAGTATTATTACTATAAGAGGAATATTAACTTCATTTATTCCCCAGGGGAAACTGTTAATAAGAGGGAAATAAACTGAATTGTTGTCATCAACTCTCATCTAGACATCATTCATGCAGTGTTATTAATAACTGAAATGCAGGTAATTGGTAGCCTACAGTCCTGAAAGTCTAAAAGCTCCTGATGTTATGTAGTGTTTTACACCTGGCAACATTTTTTCAACACAGATGTAACGTTAAATGTTCAGTGACGGAAGGTATTGAAAGGACTATGTTCTTCCATAAAGAACCTTTCAGAAAAGAAGCGATTTGCGCTGGGTTCAGCACAAAAGTACTTCGACTGCGGCATGGCGTGCGGTGCGCGATCCTCTACACAGCAACAAAGTGCCCTAGCGCGGCGCAAGTCGCTGAAATAATGGGCCTCTTTCTGTGCGGTGGGTCTGAAAGGTTACATGCTGCTTTCTTTGTTTACGTTGTACTGAAAGCTCGACTCTCACCGCTACGGCATCGATTGTAAGTGACACGTTCAGGTTTAATTCCCTATACCAACTAAGGTGGGTCTCTGACATTGACAGCTTTGTGTTGGAGAGATTTGTGCAGCGCTGTTCATGAGAGACGGAGAGAGTGAGCGAGAGATGTTGCGCGAATATATACACTGTAGAAACAGTTACACCTTTAGAAGAGCAGTTGATATTCAGTCCTCGTATAATTATTAGTGTGCAATTATCTGATTAATCCTCTGTCAGTACCACAATTTCCACGGACGGTGTTTATACTGTATGTGCAGTCATTATTTAAAAAAGGCCTAACAAAATTAGCCGAGTGTTATATAAAAAAATCTAAACAACACTAACAAGTATGTGAAATATGTTTAACAAAAAGAAAATGAAGAAAGGAAAGAAAATGCTCGCAAAGGAGGTATTGGGTGTGTAATTGCTCTAGTTTTAGTATAGTGAAAATGGTGTAACTGATCCATACAGGCCAGTAACATTGGAAGGTCAAGACAAGTCATTTTAAAACTCCTTTTATTCACCGGCAGTCTTTGTACTCTGCAACTTGGGTTTTTATTAGAGCACAGAGTAATAATAAATGACTGTTGCTGTTTTTCACAGGTGAAAGTCTCACTTTCACCTCCACCCCACACACAGTGAAGAGAGGAAGACCAGTGGATAATATGTTTTTGGCAGTAAGGATGCTGTCCATTTAAAACCTGAAACACTTTTCAACTCTCTAACAGTTAACAAATACAGAAGGATGCAGCCTTACCCACACTATATAGTATGAGGTGTTACTTTTTGTATGCTCTTGTTTTTCAGATGGAGGTTCTGACCCCTGCGCTGAGTTAGAGATAAGGAGAACTCACTGATGGTGAGTTAAATTGCTTTAATTATGAAATATACAAAAACTCCTGCCTTTGTTTCATACTTTAACTCAGTCAAAAGACAAGTAGAGTACTACTTTACTCTTACTGTAAGTGTATGTGTACTTTTGTTTGAGTGTTTGTTTGTAACTCTTTTCTAATTTATGATGGTCAGTGTTGGGCAAGTTACTCAGAAATTATTATATATTACTAGTTATTACTCCTTTAAAGTATTACTTTACTTATTACTGGGTGGGCAATATTAGATTGTGGACGATTAAAATGTCTCCACGATCTATCTTTTCAGAGAGATCATTACTGTCGTGCTACAGATCACAATCTATTTAGTTCTGTCTGCGTCCTCTGCTGTCTACTAAGGCAACACAGTAACTGTTGGGCCTCATAAAATAACATTAAAGTTCCCCGTGTCCCCCAGCTACTCTGTCTCAACTCTCTGTGATTTACGGAGGTTGCTGATGAACAGATGTGTTACTTGTTGCTAAAGTAACTGCTAAGTGCCATTAAGTAGCTGCTGTGATCTTATAAGCTCAGTTAGCCTAGTGGTCGTAGCTGACTCAGCCCGGACTGGGAGCTCGCAGCACCTGGGAGTGTTTTGTGTTTAACGTTACACCTCTACTCAGGCACTGGAGGTTTTAGGCCTCAGCAAGCGGCGCTGGTTTGGGCACCAGAACAGGAGCCAAGCGTGCAACGACACCGCGCTCAGCAGCCTCCCAGTAAACACTGTATGAACGGGACCGAACACAGACTTTGGACAAGTTTGTGCAGCGGTGTTCACGAGAGAGAAAGAGAGCGCGAGCCAGGAGGTGCTGCACGAATATTTGCTCCTCAATACAGCTCCTCGGTCAAACATGATTTTAAATATGCCTAGTAAAAAAATTTTAAATTAATGTGGTGGTCAGCGTTGACAATTAACCAAATTATAGGCTAATTATGGGAAACACTGCTTTCACTACCACCCTGCCTTTGCCCCCAAACAAAGCATCTCTCCCGAATTATTAACTAATATCGTATTCACAACCGCGAGTATGCTATGGTCTTTACATACGGTACCGCTGAGCTGCCGCACAGTCGTGGATTCATGTCAAGGACGGTGCGTTTAGTAACGAGTTTTTTAGAAAAGTAACTACACTTCACTTTACAATTACACTACTAGTTACAGGGAAAAGTAATATTATTACAGTAAAGCGTTACTGCCCAACACTGATGATGGTAAATATTAAATGTGTTTTTGTGACCTTTAACAATTAACCTTTTTTGTCCCATGGTAAGAGAGTTGCAATCATCTGTCAGTTCTTGGTTGTCACATTTAATTAAAGCACTTGTTTCATCGACTAATAGGAAATGATGTTTGTCTGTTCCTGTTGTAGATGAGACCCCCAGGCTTCCACAGAAGAACAAAGTCAAACATGAGAGAGCAAGAGAGCATGGAGTGAGGTAGAGAGAACTGCGATGTAGAGTGCCTGGAAAAAAGGACTGTGAGCAATGTATACATGGAGAAAAGACCTTGGCTCAAGGGTCATGGAAAGATGTCAAACTTTGTGTACAACACAATTGTGACCCTTAGACGAAGCGGCGCTTCACGTATTCTTAAGAATTCAAAAGCCAAATGTTTTTGCCATTTACAGTCTCCTACTGAACTACTGATTGATAATAATCTGAAATTAATCTATCCTGGACCATATAGTGTCAGATGATGTACTGTAAAAAGGCAAGACTAGCCACAATAAGCTAGTGTTCAGCGTTCCTAAAACTCAAAACCAGTTGTAAAAAATTCAAAGGATTATTTTGTTTTCATTGTACTTTGCAAGACAGTGTTCCTTGTTTTCAATTGATTGTCTGATAATATCAATTTTCTTCATATTGGCCCTCACTTTAATTGGTGAATTAATAGTAGTTATGATACAGTACACTTTACTGTATTTTTTGAGTTGTACAAGAGGCAATAGTTTGTTTCTGGAATAATTTATTTCTGTTTATGCTTAATAAACAATGGATTTGGGGGTGGTGATAGCGCACTTCAATCCCCCACTGTGAACCATCCACTGTGTCCCTGAGTAAGACACTTAACCCTAGTTGCTCCAGAGGCGTGCGACCTCCGACCTCCGACATGTATAGCAATTGTAAGTCACTTTGGATAAAAGCTTCAGCTAAATGAATAAATAAAATGGATTTCTTTTATATCCCTGCAGCTTTGTTGAAAGTTGTATATGTGGATTGCTCAAGTTATATTTACTTTAGTAAAGCAGTAATTGACCAGTAAGTATGTATGTTTGTACAGCAGTCAAATCGATGGTCACCTCCATAAATTTAGGTATTCTGCTTATCTATGAATCTCAGACTGGGCAATTCTTTTTAAAAATGCCCATACTGACTTATTTTTACATAATGTGTTATACTAGAACATTAAAATTATTAAATTTAATGCTAAAAATAGAAGGTAGTTAAACTAGTCCATTCTGAAACGAACTCAATAGCGCCCCCTTGAAAAGGTCCCCACTCCAGTGGTAAACTGGGTTAAAAAAATTAAAAATTTCCTTCATGTTTTTTAAGGAACTGAGGTGGAAACTGGCATCAAGGTGCCACCCAGTGTTGGAATCTATCATGCATTTGTCTCTAAGTATAGTAGAAAGGGTGGTCCTCACTCCAGCAGTTAATTAACCTGGACCTCACTATGAGGCACGTACAGGAATGTGTGTGTGTGTGTGTGTGTGTGTACATAGACCACATGTGTGTGTGGTGAAAGAAAAACAAAATTCTTCCATTTCTGACTTCTGGTTTTAATTAGGTGGAAAGAGAGAGGGAAAAAAGCAGATAGATAGAGGGGGAGAGGAGGCGACGGAGGAGAGCACAGAATCATGATGAGCCAAGTCATGCAGAGGTCTCTGTCAATATGTAACTATGTGTGTGCATGCATGTGTGTGTGTCTCTCCATCTGCACAAAGAGGAGTCTGTTTATCAGTCAGCAGACCTGAGTGTGTCCTTCACCCACCACCCCCTCATTCCCTGCCTCTCTCCTTCCCTCACTCCTTAAAAGGAGAAAATGTCGGTGGAGGTGGTAGCCAGGCTTGGAGAAAGAAAGAAAAAAAAAAACACATTTGGAAAAAGACAGATGGAAAGAAAGAAAAAAAGAACAAGTCAGGAACACAAAGAGAGGAAAACATATTTAGTCGACTTTCATCCCTGACTGCTCTGAACTATAGCCTCAGCTCAAATAGTTTCAATCCTCTCCCAGAAAGCATAGCCTCTCCTCTCTTTTCTATCTCTTCTCTATTCGTTTCATGTGGACTATTCATCCTCTCATCACCACTCCCTGCTTGTGGCATGCTGCAGTTTATTTTTAACCCACTAAAAGCTTTCAGATGATGTTCTCTGTTGTATATCTGTTGGCCAAAAATGTTTTGGGCCCTCTGGTGGCAAGATAGGAAAAAAACACAACATTAACTTTATATAACTTCAAAACCAACTTTTTCCCACTCAGCATTCCAGGGCTGGAGATTATCTAAACTGGAATGGGGGAGGGTTTATAGTTTCAACATTAATATCCCTTGACTGAGAAGTTCTGTGGAAAAAAAACCCCAAAATGCTGAGGTTGCTCAAGAGAAACAACCACACAGAGACACAAAAAAACCTTTTGCCAACTTTTAACATCAACAGACTAAATATATTTCAGGGAAACTAAATGAGGCGCATCCAACATTTAGTTTTTTTTAGAAAGTTTACTTTCAGAATGCTAAAGTATTAGTATAAAAAGGGGAATGAGACGAGAAAGAAGAAAGGGAGGGGGGCATAAAGTTCTTTGTGTAAAGTAAACAGAAGGCCCAAACTATGGCAGACAGAAGGACAGCTGTAGCCTTGGTCCCTTTAAACTTTAAAAGGTCCAACATTCTGTCACTCTCTATATAACTGTGTGTGCATGTGTGTGCGTGTGTGTTACAATGTAAGCAAGTTTGACAGAAGAAGAATAAAGGGGGTTTCCACGGTAACCTCGAGTCTGAAAGAGCCCCTTCATCCTGTTTTTCACTATGAAAGGAAATGAGGAGAAAAAATTCCTGACTGTGTGTGTGTGATTGTGTGAAAAGGACCAGATGGCAGGGTGGGGCAGTGAGGAGGGGGAAGGGGGCAGGATGTGGGAGGGCCAGGGTGCAGGGGGAGGGCCTGTGGGCGGGGTTAAGAGTGTGCTCCCTTGCGCTCCCCTGGTGCATGAACAGTGTAACTGCAGCTTAGATTTTCTGCCCTGAACTAAGTTGGATATTATCAAACTACATTTGCTTTAGAAACATAAAAAGTAGCTAAGATTTATAGCTAAATATATGTACAGAGTCTGAAATACAGAATTTAGTTGTGCTTTACCATCTTCTCATTAGACTTGGCCCGCTGGCTCAAACACACTAAGACAACAAAGACTCAGGGCACCACACTTTGATTTGATTTTTCTTTCCCTCCAAAGGAGGCTTCAAATATATTATTTTTCATCTAAAACCTATAAATCTGTTAGAATGTCTAATACACAATTTGCTTGGTTGATTATTCTGCCTTAGATAATGTACAATTATAAATAAGATAACTTATCTTACATATATTTTATTTCATTAAATTCAAATCTAACAATTATCAAATGGCTCTGTGTCTTTCTCATCCAATTATGGCAACATGGCACTTGTATCTGTTGTTCAAGGTCCAATCAGTTAGGCTTAAAATGAGTGAATGCTTTATTTTTCACTTATAAATTGTTAGTCCATGTATTAAATGGCTCATCGGTTAATCTCAAGGTGACAAAGGTTGCGAACTGGTGTTGAGTTTTGATTTGTTTTTGTTCACAATGACAGACAACTTTAATAGACATTAAAGTGGAAGAATTCTATACATACACTAATCTACCACAGACCTTCAATGTTAACTCATTGAAAAGTAACAACAAAAAATTCACAATGTGAATGAGATGTTTTACTCTGCCTCTTATTAAAAAGTAATGTAGTGTAATATAGAGTAACATGTCTTTTTTATCTGACTGTATTGACTACAGGAGGCACAAAGTGTGGTTCCTTCAGTGAGGTTCCTTTTTATGTGTGGAGTCACATTGCCCTCCACTGGTGAAGTTTGTGTACTGCTGCTACATGGCGTAAGGCTGGAGACCCCAACACCTAGATGCTGTTTATTACCTTCACAATCCATCTCACTCACTATCCAATGTGTGTGTGTCTGTCTGTTAGTGTGTGTTGAAATAAAGAACATACAGATGTGTGTGTGTATGACAGTGTGGGAGACAGAGGTGGAAAGAGTGTGTGGAAGTGTTCAGGGTTTGTGTGCTTGTGCATGCTGATTTAAAGAACGTACTGAGAGAGTGTGAGTGTGTGTGTGTGTGTGTGTGAGTGTGTGAGAGAGAGAGAGCGTAGGCAGTACAAAGGGTGGAAGACCGAGGTGGAAAGAGTGTGTGTGAGTGTCAGTGTTGTTCTCTCAGGGCCATTCTGACCTCTCTCTGCTCTTCTGGCCATGAAGGTCCTCAGCGATGACGCACACACCGCATGTAACGGCATCACTGATGATACACACACACGAAGTATGCTGCCTGCATTGCTGATAAGGTGCACTACAGTCCACACACCAACACAGCACTACCTTGAACTCGAATTCCCACTTGCTGAAACCACACAAACAGCCCATAAATCCCCATAGCAAATAACAGAGGACACAGACAGACACCCCACCACTAACACACACACACACACACACACACACACACACACACAGAGGTGAGCTGCTATGGTGTGCTTATTAAATCAGTCCTATATCAGCCAGTCTCCTTGGGACAGCAGAAAAGATTTACTACAGCAATTACACTGGCTAATTACAAGGAGGAGAGATAGAGGGAATGAGGGAGAGCTACAGAGTGTAAAGGAGAGAAGGAAATCAAATCAAGGAAAGAGAGCAAATAAAGGTGTGAAAACCGAGACGACGAGAGAGCAAATAAAGGGGAGAGAGATAGAGAGAAGTTAGTTTAAAGGACAAAGACGATGAGGATTGACCTTCATCCAGCCACAACACCTTAGCCTTGAATGGGGTATGTGGAGAAAACACAAAGGTTTAATGTTCAAACTCTTAGACCAGCTGTGTGCATGCGTGTATGTATGTGTGTGTGTGTGCGCCTGACTGACTGAGTGAGTCACTGAGTATGTAAGTAGTTTTCCTTGTGGTACTCTGGTAGTCTGTGTGGTGCTTTGGTGTTTGTTATTCACAGTGTGAATGCCCTTGATGCTGCACTGGCCTTCACAGCACAGTGCTCCCTCTATGGGGAGGAAAGTGAATTACATCATTAAGCAGGCTAGCTCAGAGCTATGCTGGGTATCAATCAACCCTGATTCTCGCTTCCAGTGCCGTTGATGGCATGCGGTGACATTTGCAGACACTTACTTATGTGTATGTGTATGAGACCGACTGATAAGATTAGTGTTCTTACAGACAGCTATCTGAGAAGGTCTCACAGTCTATAATATTTGAACATAGCCTTTAAGAGAACTTGGGAACTGCTAATAACTTGATAATATTCAATCATTCCCATTAGGGAAATACAGTTTGCTCCCCTAACTTACTTTGACTCAACAGCAGGGTTCACCAGCTCTTACTCATGAACTCTTCATCCTTTCAGATGCTTGGACTCAGGTCGTGCAGCTAAATGTTATTCTCTCCATGTACAGTGCCAGCTGCCTGCCAAATGTACTGACATTTCCCTGCTTGTCAAGTATATTGTCCATCCTGACCGCTTCAGTGACATTTTGCACAGCCATGCAGAAAGTCTCATTTACATGAGCACAGAGGTAGAAATGAAAACTTGTAAATTGGGTTTCTATCTCAATTAAAAAGTTAGATGAACTGTAACACACATGCACCCCATGAGGCACATTTTGCCCTGGGCGAAAAGGATTAGGTGCTGCGCTCCTGTCAGCCCTCAAATATTCATTATTACCTTATAGAAAGATAGCGGACAGAAAGCGAGTGGGAGCAAGAAAATGGAAAAGGGCAGAAAAAGAGCACAAGTAAGTG